CCAAAATACTGTTTGAAATATGGAACGTTCCCAGTCCCAAGCATTTCAGGTAAGAGCCCATATGTGGAGTGTCTCGGAATAGGTGGGCTACATTGTCAAGCGTGCCCAAAATGAGAGGACTACCTCCAAGGCTACCTCACTTGAACCCACACATCTCCATTTGCAGCTGCAAAAAGGGAGAGAAATGAAAGTCACTCTCCAGTGGCATTTCTATGTCACTCCGTGTTGAAAATCATGATGTCTCCCCCATTACATGGACCACACAATATTGTCCTTCAAATACTAGATCTTTGGTCAAAACCAGGACCATCAAAAACCATCTGCAACAAAACTGGCGGGTGGGAGGGCAGAACCATGCGATTCAAAGTTTCATTGTGACCGGATAACTAATTGCAGAAGATTCAAAATGTACATCAATTTCAGCCTTGAGTTAGAACATGTGAAGTGCATTAAATAAAATGCTTTTTGTGGTTTTAACAAACTACACTCACTCACAGGAGGGGCACAAGAACCCATTTTTTAAAATCGTGTCAGAAGCAACTTGAGAAACTGCAATTCGCTTCGGGTGTGAGATAATTGGCCATCGGCAAGGACGTCACCCAGGGGACACCCGGATGAGTTACCATCCTATGGGAGGCTTCTCTCATGTCCCTGCATGGGAAGCTGGAGATGACAGATGGGAGCTCATCCTGTCTCACGGATTTGAACCATCAACCTTCAGGTCAGCAGTTCAGTCGGCACAAGGGTTTAACCCATTGCGCCACTGCAGCTCCATGAAAAGGGAAAACTGCAAATCAAGACATTGCTGGGTTGTTGGTTTTTTTTCGGGCTATATGGCTATGTTCTAGAGGCATTCTCTCCTGACGTTTTGCCTGCATCTATGGCAAGCATCCTCAGAGTTATGAAGATGCTTGTCAAAGATGCAGGCCAAACGTCAAGAGATAATGCCTCTAGAACATGGCCATACAGCCCGAAAAAAACCCTACAACAACCCAGTGATTCCGGACATGAAAGCCTTCAACAATACGAAGACTTCTTAGACAGTCTTCTAGCTCTGATGGCTGGGGTTTTCTTCCTGGAGACATATCACAGACATATCAACAGGTGTGTTACAACATGCTGAATGGAGTGCTGTTGCCTTCCTGCCGAAGCAGTACCTATTGGTCTACTTATATTTGCATGTTTTCGAACTGCTAGGTTGGCTAAAGTTGGGGCTAACAGTGGGAGCTCACCTCACTCCCCAGATTCGAACTGCTAACCTTTTGGTCAGCAAGTTCAGCGCTTTAACCCGCTGCATGATTGGAGGCAGTATTTTTGAAAGCTTTTGACAATACAAAGACATTGCTCTTTTCCCCCTTCACAGAACACTTCTTTAGGCTTGTGCAAGTCTTCCGCCACAATCGAATGGCCAACGTGTGCTGAAAGGAAACCACAGAATCGCATTGGAGGATACAGAGATTCCTAGAGAATTCTTCTCTCTAGAAATCTTTCAGTTCTTTTGCATAGCTGGAGGAAGTTGTCTATACAGTCATGCTGGAGGAGTTCAAGATTTCTCAAGAGAACACTGAAAATCAAATCCACAAAACGCCTTTCCTTGGATGAGAATGGATGCATCTGGGATTCAATTGACACTATAGAATGGATGCAGTCTGACACTAGCTTCACTGCCATGGCTCGACACTATGGAAAACTGGAAGTATCACAAGGTCTGTCGRCTTTTTGGCCAAAGTCAACATGTCAACGTTGGTCTGAGGCATTATCCGCAGACTAGTCARGGCTCTAAGGGTGCAACTATAGAAATACAGTTCAATATGTGTATTTGCAGTATTTTACAATGTTTATGTGTTGTCACTATTCTGTAACCCACCTCGAACCATGAGGAGAGGCGGGTAAGAAATAACTTCATTACTATTATGATCTAGACCAGTGGTTCTCAATRTTTCTCATGCCGTGACCCCTTAATACAGTTCCTCATGATCCCCAAACATAACATTATTTTCAATGCTACTTCYTAACTGTAATTTTGCTCCTGTRATGAATCGTCATGTAAATATCTGATATGCAGGATGGATTTTCAGTCACTGGACTGAATTTGGCACAGATTACCCAATACGCCTGAATTTGAATACTGGTGAGGCTGMGGGGTGGGGGGAGGGCTGATTTTTTCATTTGGGAGTTGTAGTTGCTGGGATTTATAGTTCGCCTACATCCAGAGAGCACTGTGGACTCAAACAATGATGGATCTGATGGACCAAACTTGGCACTCAGTATGCCCAAATGTGAAAACTGGTGGAGTTTGCCATTTAGGAATTATAGTTGCTGGAATTTGTAGTTCACCTACAATCAAAGAGCATTCTGAACCCCACCAATGATAGAATTGGGCCAAACTTCCCACACCYAAACCCTACGACCAACAGAAAATCCTGATGGTCTTTGGCGACCTACAGACACCCTCTCACAARTTCCCAGTTGGGAAACACTGATCTAGACTGACACTGCTCAACATACAAACGCAGAGAAGGCTAAGACTTTGTAGAACAGCAACTCCCAGGACTGCATAGCATTGAGAAATGGCGGTCAAACTGATGTCAAACTGCATCCATTCTACAGTGTAGATGCCCATATCTCATATTGCTTGAACAGACATACATTTCTCTCAAGCCGTGGCAATACACACACCTTTCCTTCAAGGCAGTGACAAAGTGTATCCATTCTACTGTGCAGATGCCCACATGAATGGTTTGCATGGTGACGAACACAGCTTTCCTTCAAAGGGGTGTCGAAGTGCATCAATCCTACAGTACAGATGCTTGCGACATTGTTTGCATGGACATACATTTCTCTCAAGTGGTGTCAATGTCAAACCGCATCCATTCTACAATCTTGATGCCTTCATGAATTGTAGGCATAACAACACACACACCTTTCCTTCAAAGTGGTGTCAAAGTGGATCAGTTCGATAGTGTAGATGCCCAGATCTCGTATTGTTTGCATGGACATACATTTCTCTCAAGTAGTGGCAAATTGCATCCATTCTACCATGGAGATGCCCACATGAATGGCAAGCAAGCATGGCTATACACACACCTTTCCTTTAAAGTGGTGTCAAAGTGGATCAGCTCTACAGTGCAGAGGCTCATGGCATATTGTTTGCATAGACATATATCTTTCTCTCAAGTAGTGTAAATGTCAAACTGCATCCATTTTACAATCCTGATGCCTACATGAATGGTTTGCATGGCCATCCAGGCATCTTTCTCTAAAGTGGTCTCAAACTGCATTAATGCTACAGTGCACGTGCCCACCTGTCATACTGTTGTCATGGACATGCATTTCTCTCAAATAGTGGCAAACTGCATCCATTCTACCATGCAGATGCCCACATGAATCGTTTGCATGGCTATACACACACATTTCTTCAAAGTGGTGTCAAACTGAATCAATTCTACTGTACAGATGCACATGACATATTGTTTGCATGGACATACACTTCTCCAAAGTGGTGCCAATGTCAAACTGAATCCATTCTACAATCTTGATGCCTCCATGAATGGTTTGCATGGTTATCCAGACATCTTTCTCTAAAGTAGGATCAAACTGTGTTAATTCTACAGTGCAGATGCCCACATATCATATTGTTTGTATGGCCATACGTTTCTCCACCCACACCATTCCGTCAAAGTGCATCAATTCTACACTACAGATGCCCGTTACAATCTTGACACCTACGTCAATGGTTTGCATGGCTATCCAGACATCTTGCTCTAAAGTGGTATCAAACTGCATTAATTCTACAGTGCAGATGCCCACACGTCATATTGTTTGTATGGGCATAGAGTTCTCCAAAGTGGTGCCAATGTCAAACTGCATCCATTCTACAATCTTGATACCTACATGAATTGTTTGCATGGCTATCCAGACACCTTTCTCTAAAGTGGGATCAAACTGCATTAATTCTACAGTGCAGATGCCCACACGTCATATTGTTTGCATGGCCATACATTTCTCCAAAGTGGTGCCAATACCAAACTGCATTCATTCTAAAATCTTGACACCTACGTGAATGGTTTGCATGGCTATCCAGATACCTTTCTCTAAAGTGGTATCAAACTGCATTAATTCTACAGTGCAGATGCCCACACGTCATATTGTTTGCATGGCCATACATTTCTCCAAAGTGGTGCCAATACCAAACTGCATTCATTCTAAAATCTTGACACCTACGTGAATGGTTTGCATGGCTATCCAGATACCTTTCTCTAAAGTGGTATCAAACTGCATTAATTCTACAGTGCAGATGCCCACACATCATATTGTTTGCATGGCCATACATTTCTCCAAAGTGGTGCCAATACCAAACTGCATCTATTCTACAATCTTGACACCTACATGAATGGTTTGTATGGCAATCCACACATCTTTCCTTCAAAGTGGGATCAAACTGCATCACTTCTACTGTACAGACGCCCACGACATATGGACATACACTTCTCCAAAGTGGTGCCAATGTCAAACTGCATCCATTCCACAATCTTGACGCCTACGTGAATGGCATGCATGGCTATCCAGACATCTTTCCCTAAAGTGGTTTCAAACTGCATTAATTCTACTGTGCAGATGCCCACATGAATGGCTATACACACACCTTTCCTTTAAAGTGGTTTCAAACTGCATTAATTCTACAGTGCAAATGCCCACATGTCATATGGTTGGCATCCATTCTACAATCTTGGTGCCCACATCACCAGGCTTGGGCAAAGTTGGGCCCTCACTCCAGGTGTTTTAGACTCCAACTCCCACCATTCCTAACTTGGGCCCTCCAGGTGTTTTGGACTCCAACTCCCACCATTCCTAACAGCCTACCGGCTGTTAGGAATGGTGGGAGTTGGGTCCAAAACATGTGGAGGGAGGGAGGGAGGGCCCAACTTTGCCCAAGCCTGGTATATACAGTCCTTTCTTGCAAGTGCCTTCCTTCTCCCTTACCTGGGAGGTCTGCTCACCTGAGGTTTGGGCAGCCAGCCTGGCCTTCCTGGGGCCGCTGACCGAGTCATTGTGCTCGACCTCGTAGCCCGAGGAGGATGCCTCCTCCACCCCCAGCACCAGGAGCAGCAGAAGGGCCAAGGCGGCCGGCGTTTGGCGCATTCTCCCTGAAGTTTGCACTCAAGTTCCCTCCCGGCGTCCCAGCAGCAACCGCACAAGAGCCCCTTCTCCCTCCTGAGCCGGTCTCCTTACTCCTGGCAGGTGAGCCACCGGCCCCTTTTATAGCCCCCTCCTCCCTCAGGACACGCCCCTTCCCCGGCTCGGCCACCAATCCCCAAGCGCCCCCCCGGCAGCCAATCGCAAGCCGGCCCCATTCAAGCACGCGCTTCCTCGGAAGAATTTTTTCCAGCCTATTAAAAGACCCAGCCAAGCATGCAGACTGGGAAAAGGACAGCCTTCGGGTTAAAGTGGTGTTTTAGTATTGGTATTATTCTTGCTCGGGGCAACGGAAGCATGTGTGTTGCAATTGGCAACCTTGAATATCATAGAATAGCCTTGCAGCTTCAAAGCCTGGCTGCCTCCTGCCTAGAGGAATCCTTTGTTGGGAGGGGATTCGCTGGCCCTTATGGTTTCTTGTCTGGAATTCCCCTGCTCTTGCTCAGGACAAGTGAGGCAAGTGTGAATGTTGCAATTGGCAACCTTGATTAGCATGGAATAGCCTTGCAGCTTCAAAGCCTGGCTGCTTACTGCCTGGAGGAATCCTTTGTTGGGAGGTGATTACCTTTATAGCCCTGCAGCTTCAAAGTCTGGCTGCTTACTGCCTGGAGGAATCCTTTGTTGGGAGGTGATTACCTTGTCTCATTTCATGAGGCAAGTGTGAATGTTGCAATTGGCGACCTTGATTAGGATGGAATAGCCTTGCAGGTTCAAAGCCTGGCTGCTTACTGCCTGGAGGAATCCTTTGTTGGGAGGTGATTAGCTTGCCTCAGTTTGTGAGACAAGTGTGAATGTTGTTGCAATTGGCAACCTTGATTAGCATGGAATAGCCTTGCAGCTGCAAAGCCTGGCTGCTTACTGCCTGGAGGAATCCTTTGTTGGGAGGTGATTAGCTTGCCTCAGTTTGCAAGGCAAGTGTGAATGTTGCAATTGGCAACCTTGATTAGCATGGAATAGCCTTGCAGGTTCAAGGCCTGGCTGCTTGCTGCCTGGGGGGATCCTTTGTTGGGAGGTGATTAGGTTGCCTCATTTTGTGAGACAAGTGTGAATGTTGTTGCAGTTGGCAATCTTGATTAGCATGGAATAGCCTTGCAGCTTCAAAGCCTGGCTGCTTGCTGCCTGGAGGAATCCTTTGTTGGAAGGTTGCCTATTATTACTCTTGCTCAGGGCAAGTGAGGCAATTGTGAATGTTGCAATTGGCGACCTTGATTAGCATGGAATAGCCTTGCAACTTCAAGGCCTGGCTGCTTGCTGCCCAGAGGAATCCTTTGTTGGGAGGGGATTAGCTTGTCTCATTTTGTGAAACAAGTGTGAATGTTGTTGCAATTGGCAACCTTGATCACCTTTGTTGGGAGGTGATTAGCTGGCCCTTATTGTTTCTTGTCTGGGATTCCCCTGGGATGCATGCCAGTGTGGACTCGGGGCCCTTCCACACAGCCCTATATCCCAGAATATCAGCACAGGAAATCCCACAATATCTGCTTTGAACTGGGTTATCTGAGTCCACACTCAGATAATGTGGGATTTCCTGCCTTGATATTCTCGGTTATCGGGCTGGGTGGAAGGGCCCCCAGAGGATCTGAGCAGATAATCCACATTATCTGCTTTGAACTGGATCATGTGTGTCTACACTGTCATATAATCTGGTCCAAAGCAGATAATCTGGATTTTATATGGCAATATACATCCAGCCGAAAGATAAAAGTCCCAGGATTCCATAGCATTGAGCCATGGGAGTTAAACCTGGATCAAACAGCATTAATTCCTAAATGTAGGTGCACACTTTATTATAAATAGCATGGTATTACTCTATTATATTATTATTATTATTATTACTATTAAAGTATTTAATAGGGTACCAATCAATTAATTATTATTACTACTAATTAATACTTTATTATTCCTAATGCTTGTATTGTTGTTGTTGTTGTTATTATTATAAGATATTATTATTATAAAAGATAGATATATATGTACGTGTACGTGTGTGTGAGCCATAAATAAAATTTCATGTTTAGACTTGGGCCTCATCTTTCAAGCTATCTCACTGTGTACGTTATGCAAATGTAGGCATTTTATCAGATTGTGGAAGGGCTAGATTTGCATAATGTACATAGTGAGAAAGCCTGGGAGGTGGCACACAAGTCCCAACATGAAATCTCAGTTATGGTTCATATATATCTTATATACCTGAAGGCAATGTCATGCAGCATTTGGAATAATTTCATGCATGGAACTAAAGGTGCACCTACACGGTAGAAATAATGCCATTTGATCCCACTTGAACTGCCAACTGGGAGTTGTAGTTTTACAAGGTCTTTTGCCAGCTCTGCCCAAGAAGAGCTGGTTCCTCCACAACTACTAGTCCCATTATTCCCGATCACTGAGCCATGGTAGTTAAATTGGTGCCAAACTACAAGGATTTTGCCAACCTGTTGCACATGGAATGGCTTGGGCCCCTTCTACACTGCCATATAATCCAGATTATCAAAGCAGATAATCCACATTATCTGCTTTGAACTGGATTATCTGAGTACACTGCAATATAATCCAGATTATCACAAAGAGTCCACTGAACAAATAAACAATAACAAAGACCAACATTATCTGCTTTGATCTGGATTATATGAGTCTACACTGGAATATAATCCAGATTATTATGAAGAGTCCACTGAACGAATAAACAATAACAAAGACCAACATTATCTGCTTTGATCTGGATTATATGAGTCTACACTGCAATATAATCCAGATTATTATGAAGAGTCCACTGAATGAATAAACAATAACAAAGACCAACATTATCTGCTTTGAACTGGATTATATGAGTCTACACTAAAATATAATCCAGATTATTACGAAGAGTCCACTGAACGAATAAACAATAACAAAGACCAACATTATCTGCTTTGATCTGGATTATATGAGTCTACACTGCAATATAATCCAGATTATTATGAAGAGTCCACTGAATGAATAAACAATAACAAAGACCAACATTATCTGCTTTGATCTGGATTATATGAGTCTACACTGCAATATACTCCAGTTCAAATCAGATAATCTGGATTTTATATGGCAGAGTAGAAGGGGCCATTATCTGCTTTGAACTGGATTATAAGAGTTTACACTGTCATAACATCCAGTTCAAAGTAAACAATCTGGATTTTATATGGCAGTGCAGAAGGGACCTCAAATAATCCAGTTCAAAGCAGTTAATGTGGGTTTTATATAGCAGTGTAGATGGGACCTTAAAGGGGTTACATCATAGGTCCCTTCTACACTGTCATATAAAATCCAGATTATCATCTTTGAACTGGATTATATGGCAGTGTAGACTCATATAATCCAGATCAAAGCAGATAATGTTGGTGTTTGTTATTGTTTATTTGTTCAGTCGACTCTTCGTAATAATCTGGATTATATGGCAGTGTAGAAGGGCCCCAAAAGCTATTCCTGATCCACTATTTAGGGCCATTCCGGACAGGCCCTATATCGCAGGATCGGATCCCAGGTTTTCTGTCTATCCCAGATTATCTGGCAGCGTGGACTCATATAACCCAGGGTCCTTAGTGGAGTGATCTTGTGAATCGCAAAAAAGCTTAATGTCACACTTTCATTGCAAAAGGCAGAAGGGACAGAGAGTTTCATATATGCTGATGATCGTGCCATTACTGCTCAAGCAGGAGCTTTGAGATGGTTGAACAGAAGCTCTCCGAAGCTCTAGGTGCTCTTACTGCCTATTACAGGGAAAACCAGCTGATTCCTAATCCATCTAAAACACAGACATGTGCTTTTCATCTTAAGAACAGACAAGCATCCCGAGCTCTGAGGATTATTACCTGGGAAAGAATCCCACTGGAGCATTGCAGCGCACCCAAATACCTGGGAGTCACTCTGGACCGTGCTCTGACCTACAAGAAGCACTGCCTGAACATCAAGCAAAAAGTGGGTGCTAGAAACAATATCATACGAAAGCTGACTGGCACAACCTGGGGATCACAACCAGACACAGTGAAGACATCTGCCCTTGCGCTGTGCTACTCTGCTGCTGAGTACACATGCCCAGTGTGGAACACATCTCACCACGCTAAAACAGTGGATGTGGCTCTTAATGAGACATGCCGCATTATCACGGGGTGTCTGCGCCCTACACCACTGGAGAAATTACACTGTCTAGCCGGTATTGCACCACCTGACATCTGCCGGGAAGTAGCAGCCAATAGTGAAAGGACCAAGGCAGTGACTAGGCCTGTTTGATCAAGAAAAAATTTGGTTCTAAAATCGATTTGTAATTGGGGTGTTTTTTTGTTTCGATATTTAAAATAATTACAAAACTTTCCAAAAAAAAAGTTTTGGTATTTAAGAAATTTTGTAAATATTAACGAATTTTTAGAATATTTTTGGTATTTCTTAAGAATAATATTAAAATAATATTAAAAAATATTTTAAAATGGAAAATTAACCAAAAAATGACCAAACACAGGCAGGATACAGCAAATGAGAGCACACACCAACAGAAGAGTCTTTTCTTTTTTAGAATATTTTTTAAGAATAATATTAAAATAATATTAAAAATAATATTAAAATAATATTAAAAAATAATATTAAAATAATATTAAAAATATTTTAAAATGGAAAATTAACCAAAAAATGACCAAACACAGGCAGGATACAGCAAATGAGAGCACACACCAACCGAAGAGTCTTTTCTTTTTTAGAATATTTTTTAAGAATAATATTAAAATAATATTAAAAAATAAAAATAATATTAAAAATAATATTAAAAATAATATTAAAAAAATATTAAAAATATTTTAAAATGGAAAATTAACCAAAAAATGGCCCAAATGTGGACCAAACACAGGCAAGAGACAGAAAATGAAGCAAGCAGCACTCACAGCAGCAAGGAATGAATCCAATCCCAGTTGCTAGCAGGCAGCCATTGCCAAGCCAACCCAATGCAAACTCCCTCGCCCTCTGCAGC